TTGAATTTTTGTATTATTATGCTACTTATGTGAAGTTATATAAATATATTTTTCTTTATAAATATTTTTTTCTGAAACAAGTGCAGGTAATGGGTACAAGATGGGTATGCGGGTACCCAGAGGGTACAAGTACAGGGATTAATGTTCGTACCCACGCGGATATGGGGCCGGATACGGGTATGGGAATGGGTACTATAGTACCCTACCCATTGCCATTCCTAGTTTTTGGAGGTTAATTCCTAGTAAGTTCATAATGGTTCTTGGGCTTAATTGTTGATACCAAACTCCTTCTTATGAATTTTATTTCCCTAATTTCTTGAGAACTAAATTAGGAATTGAATGGGCATTGTTGCTTAATCAATCTAAGTTCTTTTCTTAACAAGGGTTTTGGAGCTCAGTTTGCTTAATCTTAAGCTGGGTTCTAAGTTTGCTTAATTCTAAGAACTAGGAATTTGAGTTCATGCAATTTGCTTAATCTTGCATGAGAAATTAAGATTAATTGACGCTTGTTCCAATTAACTAAATTATGTAAAGGGGTTGGTAACTAATTCTTGATTGATTAATTATTAAACCAATATGAATGAGTTAGGGATTAATCCATTTTGTTAATTGATTTTCTTAAATTCGTATTCCTACTTGAATGATTGATAACCTGAAAATCAAACAAGCCCTATTTTTGTTTTCTAAAGTTGATGCACATTTCATGTTTAACATTTAGTCTCTCAACCAATGTTCTAACATTTAATACATTCATATTTTGATAAAGATAGCGATAGTCTTTCATCATATTCTTTATGTTTTGGGTGTGGATAAAGACGGCTCTTAGGACTCAGTTTATTTTGACATTGTAATTATGTATTCTAAGTTCTAATGTATTTTGAGAATAGTTTGTAAATATTAAAACTTATGTATGTAATGAAATTCAACTATATACGTTATTTTTTTATTGATTTTTGTGTAAAGGTAATTATTAAAGGTACAAATTACATTTTGTTATTCATAAAATCTTTAAAAATTTCATGAATATACTTATTTACAGGAAAGTTTTAATTCGACCTTTTTATACCACATGTTTTATACTAAATTCATTTTATTTCCTTTACTTTGTTACAAATTTTATGTAATTTTAAATGAGAAATTAATGGCATTACGGGCAACACAATATATAAGTTGAAGGCCAAACATTCCATAATTGCACCTAAAGGTAAAATCGAATCTACTTTATATGCAAGATCACATGATATAAGGTATTTCAAATGCTATTGCTTCTGAATGTCCAAATAAAAAAGCAATGATTGTGATGGATAATGGAGACGTTTAAAATAAGTTCAAGTAATAATGAAACGCACAATTAGAAGATTGTATTGATATGGCTGAACTTATACACAGAAATATGTTTGTTATTAGGCATGCTTTTAACATATAGTCTAACAAAGATAATGATGTTGAACAACCAAAGCATATCTTTCATACTAGGTGTCACAAAAATGAAAAAGTATGTAACATAATCACTAATAATGGAAATTGTACTAATGTTGCTAGCACCTTGTTAGTTAGAAATTGAACTTGCCAAATACAAAGCATCATAATTCATACACACTTTAGTGATTGAATGATTGTGAAGACATAAGGGTGCATCATAATCTAGTGGTTGAATGATTGTTGGTATCATTTTCCATTAAGAAATACAAAGATGAAGTTATGATTTATATTTTTTAAAAGGTTATATTCCATCTTCACAGCTGTATTAGAATCGACAGCAAGCAATATAAATATAATGAAATTTTAAGAATGAGAAAATTGTTAGATTATTATTATTAGTGTATCATATGATAGATATGGACTTGGGCCTTTCACTATGTATATTTGTAAGTATACTTGTGTGTGTGTGTGTGTGTGTGTATATATATATATATTATTTTTCTGCTGTGAATTCAACACACGGATTCTATTTTGTCTCTTATTTTCTCTTCATCTCAACATGGTATCTAGAGCCTAACGAGGGATAACCCTAGTCTGTCTTTCCAATGGACCCACTGTCCATTGGTGTCAAATTTTTTTTTCTGGAAACCGTGTCTCATTCCGATTTCCGGTCAACTAGTGTCGCCCTGCTATTTTTCCGGCACCTTTTCCCCTTTCCCTCTCTTTTTCCGCCGTTGCCACCGCCGCCTGCCGTGAATCCCACCGATGCCACCTTCGTCAGACTCGCGTCGTTCATCCGAGTCCAACGCCACCGAATTCGTGTCCATCGGAGTTGGGACGCGCTCACACGCGCCATTTCTTCACCGACTCGTTCTCCTTTGCCAGCCACCGTCAGTCGCACGTGGCGGCACGTTCAGCCACCGTTCCAGCCACCCTCGCCGCCGCCAGACTCGTCTCAGTGTCCTCTATCCAGATCTGGTCTTTGCTTGTGCATCTCAGGTCTAGTCTTCGTGGATTCTTCCTGTTTGGACTTTTTTTTTTCTCTCTCTTGTGGTTGTTTCTCTCTCCTACAGTTGACCTATGGCTACTCCTACGGCTACTAAGTCTGATACTCCCATCTTCACTAACTATGTCAATGTCCCACTCTCTATTGACAAGTTAGATGGCGGTAACTATACACATGGGCCTCTGATATCATGCTCTGGCTAAAGGATCAGGATTATCTTGATCATCTTACTCAAAAGGCTGATTCTATCGCCGAAAAAGATCGCCCTCGCTGGTCTAAAGTTGATGCTCAGATTTGCAGTGTTCTTAAGTCGACTATTCATCCTACCTTGAAGCAGATATTTCGCACCCATAAGACCTGTGCTGGGGTTTGGGAGCAGGTTAGGGTTCTTTACACCAATGATACTCAACGCCTCTATGGTGTTTGCCAAAATCTCTTAAGTATCATTTCCCCTAGATGTATTGATGGATCCATGGCTGAGTACTTGGGCAAAGTTCATGGTCTTTTACATGACTTCAATGAACTCCTGCCCCCCACCTCTACTCCTACTCAAGAACTGGAGCAACGCCAAACTTTCTTTATGTTGATGGCATTATATGGGCTCCCAAACGAGTATTCTATAGTTCGTGATCAGATTTTGGATTCTCCGACTGTGCCCACTTTGACCTCCACTTGGTCAACCTTGTTGCGTGTGCCGCCCAAGTCATCCATTAACATACCTTCTTCTGTCACTCCTGTTGACTCTTCAGCCTTAGTATCCTAGCGTGATGACCGTAGCCATTTTCACAAACCAGGCAAGGGTCATTACAGGTGCGATCATTGCCACAAATTGGGCCACACTATTGACAGGCGTTTTGCATTGCATGGTCGCCCTCCGCGGTCTGCTAATGTTGCCCAGGTTTCTCCCTCTGTGTTGTCTGATACTGCTGCCCCTTCATCTGATCATCCAGTACCACCGGCTATCTTCAACGACTTCCTTAAATGGTATGAGGATCGTCAGGCCTTTGGTTCCATTACTTCTGTTGCGCACACGGGTAATTCCTTTGCTGGCCTCACTCACTCCACCTCCCTTGGTCCTTGGGTTCTTAATTCTGATGCCACCGATCATATTATTGGTAATAAATCCCTTTTCTCTACCCTTTCCACCTCTGGTTACTTACCATCTGTGTGACTTTGGCTAATGGCTCCCAAGCCTCATCCCATGGTGTTGGTAGTGTCCACCCTCTTCCTTCTCTCTCCATTGATAATGTCTTTTACGTCCCTGAGTCTCCATTTAACTTATTATCCATTAGCCGTCTCACTCGTTCTCTTGATTGTGCCATTTCTTTTACTAAAGACTCTGTTTTCTTACAGGACTAGAATTTAGGACGGATGATTGGCGCCTGATGTGAGTCTCATGGCCTTTATCAGCTTCGTACATCTGCTCATGTTGGCTCGGTGGTGGATTCTCCCCTTCTTATCCATGCTCAATTGGGTCACTCTAGTCTTGCCAAGCTGCAACAACTCGTATGAGTCTGTCTAAGTTGTCAACTTTGTCGTGTGAGTCATGTCAATTAGAAAAACATAGTCGTAGTCCATTTCCTAGGAGTGTCAATAACATAGATTCATCTCCTTTTGCTTTAGTTCATTCTGATATTTGGGGTCCGAGTCATATTAGGTCTACTTTAGGATTTCAATATTTTGTTACTTTCATTGATGATTATTCTCACTGTACCTGGTTACTTTCATTGGATATTTTAGAGGAGACTGGGCTAACGAATTCCAAGCCCGTTGACACACCTATGGATCCAAATGCTAAACTTCTACCAGGTCAAGAGGATCCACTCTTAGATCCTGAGAGATACAGAAGACTGATTAGAAAACTAAACTACCTCACTATTACTCGTCCAGACATCTCTTTTGCAGTTAGTGTGGTAAGTCAGTTTCTTAATTCTCCTTGTACAGGTCATTAGGATGCAATCATTCGCATTCTAAAATATATTAAAGAAGCCCTAGGAAAAGGTTTGTTATATGAAGACAATAAACATACTCGAGTTGTGGGATACTCAGATGCAGATTGGGCAGGTTCTCCTACTAATAGGAGATCCACTTCTAGATATTGTGTCTTAATTGGTGACAACTTGATTTCATGGAAAAGCAAAAAGCAAAATGTGGTGGCAAGATCAAGTGCAGAAACAGAGTATAGAGCTAGGGCTTCAGCCTAGGATTGATTATATATGTAACAAGCTTGGTGTATATGATCTATATGCTCCAGCTTGAGGGGAAGTGTTAGATTATTATTATTAGTGTATCATATGATAGATATAAGCCTGGACCTATCACTATGTATATTTGTAAATACACTTATGTGTGTGTGTGTGTATATATATATATATATAAAATTTTCCACTGTGAATTCAACACACGGATTTCTATCTTATGTCTCGTTTTCTCTTCATCTCAACAAAAACAATAGATCTTAACCATATTAACCATACATGAATAATTAAAAATAAAAAAAATTAAAAATGTCATCCATACCTTTCAAATAAGATTCAACGTCAATATTCAATATTTAGCAGACAGTACCCTCTTGATTATATTGCATTGTGCAGCAACATGCATTAATTCACTCAGAAAAATTAACGAGATTTAAAATCTTAAGATTAAATCAAATTAAAATTAACTCACTGGCATTTTCAAATTGTCTATAGTAACAATTTCCTGACAGATCATCCCTATCTTTCACTTAGGTATCACATAGATATTCCCCCTATGATACAAAAAGCCAAGTGTACTCCAGATTCTTACAAACCAATCTGCAAATCATTAAGCTAACAGATCTCTAATGTTAGAACACCTGAAATGTTCTTATTTGGTCCGTCTTCTCCTGTCCCTGTCTCGGCCTCTATCCTTATCATGATCATCCCTCTCTCTGCTTCCACTCTTTTCCCGGTGCCGGTCCCTTCCTCTATCACTGTCAAAATCATAACTTCTATCTCTTTGTCTCTCTTGATCCCTTTCTAAATCATGTTCTCTTTCTCTGTCTTTACCTGATAATTTTGGCTGTGGACTACTACTTGGACTTCGGCTGCGGTGCCGTTTCCTTGAAACATCATGCCTATCTCTCCTCTCCGAAGATCTTCCTGCAATTATAGTAGGATAACCAAACAACACTCATCATATTCTAAAATTCTCGCATCATTTGAAAGCTTGATCCAGAACAATAAGAAGCATCAACACATACAGAGATATAATTTCATATTTTGATGTCATTTTGCAAGAAATTAGAAGCTTGCATGAAAAGGGTGAAAAGGGTGAAAAGGAGTGAGGAAGTTATTAAAAATGGAAATGTATGAAGAATGCATCATATGACATTGACAACAATTATGCATCTACATTGTGGATTCTCACTCCATGCCTCCTTAATCCTTATTACTTCCATTTTAACTTAAAGTGAACACCTTTTTTCAAGAAACTCCATCGTTGCATATTTTATCCTCCTGCATATCACTATAACATACTATTGAACCACTACGATATGGAAATTTGAAAACCGCCATGGCCCTCAAGAAAAAGAATATGATAGGACATGATGAACTGAATAATTATTACCGAATCATATTTCAAGGACAAATAACTCGTCCTCAAAATTATAAAAAAAACATCTCAAATAGGTAATAACACCATCACATGCAACTACAGTTACTGTTACTGAGGTCAAATAGGCCATATAAATAAAATCAACCATGCAATGATAATGCTGCTGCAAGTTTCTACCACGATTGCAGGATGTGTGCACCAGTAAATTTGCTCGACATTGTCCAATTAAAATTCAATATTACATCTAAATTACAAGGAATTTGAAGTTTCACAATCATCACTGTGATTTCAATAAAAAAAATGCCAAATCAATTGCTTCAGTATGACTTTCGAAAGAAAAAAAACAGTAGAAACAACTTACTATTGCCTCGACCATCTTCAACAGAATCTGATAGCCCATACTCCACTTGCAGCCGTTTCCTATGTGCCAAAACTTTCTTCTCAATTTCCTCCAAATTTTTAATTCCCCTTTCTTCAAGAGACTCACGATATTCAATTAAAGCAACCTCCAAGCGTCTCAGCTTTTGCCTGTACAACAGTTCATAACATGCTCCATTAGCAGACACCAGATATGATGTAAATAAAAATCCTTCTACAGGCTATATCCAAGGAAAAAAAATACGGACTTGAATAGTTTAGGGGATAGAAAGTTAAAACCACCACTATCAAATATAAACGGAAACACAAACTGTGAAAAGACAGTATATGCTGGCAGAATGAAACAACATGATCAGGTTCATAGGCAACCTACTAATAACTCCATCTGGTACTGAAAAGAATGAAGGGGACAGCAATTAAGGCAAAATACAATACAACCTTTGCTCTTCATTCATTCCACTGTCAGCATGAGCTGAAAAACTTGTATCAGCAGCAGACTCCAATTCATCAGCTTTAATAGGACCATCAGCAACATTCTCACTACCAGAAGATGAGTAGCTTAAGCCAAGATTTTTTCCACTTCTCCTTTGTTCATCGTCACTCTCATCATCCTCCCGGGCCCATTTAGAGGCAGGCAAAACTGGATCATTCTTCTCCTTTTTTGTGAAGGCTTTAAGTTCAGGCTGTGGAATAGGAATGGTTGGGGCTAAAGACACAGACCCTTTGCCCTGTGACGGCAAATCTTCATCCCCATAATGGTTCCATCCAGACAGTCCTACTGGTTCAGGCTCAGCACTTGTTTCTCCCTGATTACTTGAATATTTCCCTGAACTCACTTGGTTGTGGGCATATTTCAATTCGTCATCTAGTTCGTAACCTCTTTGCTTTTCTGCCTCTTCAAGACTTAGCAAGCGTGCAACCATCATTTCTCTACCCCCAACAAGTGACAATCCATTGTGTCGGCACCGTCTTTCCAGCTCAGCAAGAGGAAGATTCATTAGCTCCTGCATTGCAGCTCCTCGACCCATTGCCAATGCAGCATCTTGGTTGGTCTTGCCACCAAAAACTGTATCTTCAGAAGTGATCTTCTGCTCAATCTCAGGAGCATCACCACATATGGAATGGAATGGTATTACCCCAGAGTTCCCAGGTCGAAGAAAAGTGGCTCTTAGGCCATTCACATAAGCATCTGAAAAGAGAAACCAGTCGGCCCACACTTGCAAAACTTTCAGCACTCGTTCCTGGAACATTTCAGGCAAGTTCACCAAACAGAATAAGAAAGAACAACAATAAATTATATCAAGGCAATCTACAATTCTTCAGCCTACCTTTAGGGCTTCAGCAGTAATCCGCCCCATTATGCTACGGTACAGGTCATTAAAACTCTCCATTATGTCCGGCAACGTTGCTTCAAACTTAGTGCGATATGCTGATGCATTTCTTACAGGAGCACTACTATTATGAAGAATATCAGAGACAAGCATAAGCCTTGCAATTTTAGTTGGAATAGGGGTTTCTTTAAGTGTCAAGGATTCAGTCAGAACTTCAACAATCTGCAGTTAAGATTAAATACAATTAAGAAAGCATCCTCCAAAAAATTAATGTGTATTAAATGATAGCATGAGACCAACATCAATGCCAGATAATACTGTCTTTTTCTACTGTTTCAGAATTCAGGTGATATGCAAATTCAATTTCCAATCATATTTTTTCTCCCTTCTCTTAAGATCAGGTACAGTTATCCTACCAAGTGTCACAAAGCCTAAATCCTTTTTCCCCCTTCAACTAACCTATGCCATGCTGTTCATAGTTACAGATTGCAGGTATTGTTAATAGCCTAGAACATCAAAAGTGCAGGATTATAAAGGTGGGGCCACAACCCAAGCCTTAGGCAAAACCCAGGCTTAAACTAAGGAATAATTCTGTTCAAAGTTGAAGAGAACTATTAAGAGAACACAGCCTATTATATAAAGAGGAGTGTTAGCAACACGCTACTTAACACTCCACTATTGGTTGAAATTTATTTAAAACTCCAAAATTATGAATGGGGCTCATTATATTAGGAGTGAGACAGACATAATTTTGTGATTCTCAATAATTTAGAAATTTTATTATGCAAATTAAATCATTTATACTATGTGCATATAAACACTCAAAAAATTAAAAATACTCAAAATTCATGAAAAATTGATGATTAAAAATAAAAAGCCATAGGTCTTAATCAAAACATAGCAAGTAAATAACAATAAAACTATAAAAGCAAAAGAAAAAGTACAAAACAATATTGCCAGGTTGTAGTGTGGATATTGCTCACTAGACAGAAGCAAGAGAAACTAGATCCAATTAGGAATTTCTAAATAGTGAAAAGGGGAAGAGATGCATCAATGTTGCCCCTAAAAAAACCGCGCAAAACAATCCTTTTTGGGGGACAAAAAAATTAGATTCTTTGAAAATTTTCACCCTACTGCCTCTACAGCCACTCTTTTGGCTGCTACGGTCATTATTTAAAAGCACTCTGCTATTCAATTTTTGTACTATTGATAACTATGGCAAAGATCAACTCAAAATAAATTCAGTATCTCAAAGTACACAGTTGTGAAGATATATTGATTCTTTAGGGATGAGATAGACCAGATCAAGCCCAGGCATTGCCATAAGTTTGTCTAGGGCCAATGCTAGGATTTAAACTAAAGCCCATCAATCCAAAAAGTTAGGCTTACAAGAATGGATTATTTAGGTACTATATTACTGTCACACCACAATATTCGACAAATTACTGTTAACAATAAAGATAAGGAGTAAGCCAATGAGCATTTCTATTAGATAAAGTAAGCAAATGGGATAAAATGGATAAGGATTAAGGACGTCAACAATAATTTTACTCTCTAAACATGTAATGACAATTTTACTAATGGAATTTCTGTAACCAATGAGCATACTAACAGTACTACCTCGCCGGCTGCATCAGCATTATCTAAAGAAAACCCCATAGCCTCTTTTATCTGGCTCCTCTCTAGTGTTAAAGCACGCAGCATATCCTCAAACTCATCCCTCTGTGCATCGGTCAGTGTTCTTTCAGGCTCCACACGCTGCCAATCAAAAGAATGGAAGTTGTAATAGTAAATAAATCGTGAGACTGTTGAGAAATGTATTCATCCTGACTGAAAATACAACAATAAAGAGTACCCTGCTTCTTCCTCCAGCATGAGTGGTGCCAGATTCCTTTTCATGTTCTGGACTTTTTGAAGTTGGTAATGGGGGAGGAATCCATCTGGAGAGAGAGAAAATAAATAATATATAGATTTGTTTAGCATGTACTTATTACGAGTGACCCATCCCATCCAGAGACAACATAAAATTAAAAAAAAAAAAAAAACAATCCATCAATACTCTTTCTTCCCTTTTCTTGTTTCTAATTTTTGGCAATAACCAACAACGTACACACTAAAAAGGGAAAGAATAATTAGGGTACCTTCCACTACCCGTTATCATGATAAATGGTTCAGTCCTCCATCTTTGAAGAGTATCACCCTGCATTACAAGCAAAATGAACACATTTCAATCAATTCACAAACATCCATGTTACTTGGATTCTTTAACACTAATTGTTAAATAAGCTTTTTCCATACTTGGATTCTTTAACACTAATAAATTCGCACAATACTCAAGCATTTTGTTTAATCAACACATTCCCAAAAAGTATATTGCATCCTTACAAGATGAAAATTGTTGTACCTGAGCAAATGAGTAGAGTCTCCAAACATAGTAGGTATGTTCCTTCGAGCCAAGAACAAACAAAAAATTGAAAAGAGGATTGCCACGACCCCTCTCCATAATAGCTTGTTCAAAAGCACATCCTCCATCAAGGACATACAAAGCCATTGTATCAATGACATGCCTTAGATGTTCATCCTCAGGAGGTGTAACCATTATATCCGGAACATTAGGAGTTAGAACCTGGCAATAAGTTATGACAGGAATACTCTAAGAACCATTATATCAAGCACATTAGAAGTGTAACCTTAGTAATTTTACATCTAGTACCTTGTATTTTTATAAAATATTCTGACATCTAATAGCTTTTTTAAAAACTTCTTTAGAAAACCACAGAATTTATTAAGAAGAGAAAGATAAAAAAGTTGAGGAAAAGAAATCCTCAGTGGAAAAAAAAATAGAGACTAAAAGGGAAACAAAAAGAGAAAAAGATCAACAACCATACACAACATGCCAATCTCACTCAAGATTTAAAAAAAAAAAAAAGACACCCCCCTGAAACAACCATTAGCAGCAAACGTAAAGAAGCTATAAAAACTATTAAATCCAACCAGAGAAAATTCTAGCATTAGTATCCTACCACAACCACATACACCAAAGAAAATTAGAGCAACACCAAAGATTTGGGCATTTTCGCTCTTGGAATTTTCGAGAGAATATGTATCCTTTAAGAAACAAAAATGCAATCGATGATGGTTTATATGTATCCTTAAAGAAACAAAATTTACATGTTTGCAAAAAGTAATTGCATTTTACACACAACTAAAGAAACATTTTTAATAATGATTTCTGATCTCATCACTACATGACACTACTATAAGGTATAGACTTAAAGAAACTACAACAGTAAAAAAATGAGGATTTACCAATTCAGAGTTCTGATTAGGCACAGATGTCACCGGCAGACCAGAAGGGCCAGACAGGATCACAGTACTACCCTGTAAACAAAGAAATTAAACATTCTTTAAAATTTAGATACACTATTGCATGGGTAAGTTCCTTTTCCTTAAAAGTTTTTCTTCTTTTGGTGGGGAGGAGCACAGGACAGGGGAAAGGGGGCTTTCTTTTTTAGGAATTACTTTGGATGAAAAATTACAGAAACGGAACAAAGTAAACATTTTTAAGTGGTTACTCATGTTAAATTGAATAACCACCTGAAAAGTAATTGTTCGCAGAAGTTCTCTGTATGAATTTTTTTTTTCTCTTTTCCCAACAAGATAACAGTAATACCTCCTTACTCCTGATTGCCATATGGCCTGGTGGAGGTGCAGGTAGTGCTTGCGATGGGAGGGCAACAGACTTTCCCCATCCAATTTTCAATTCATACTCATAAACCACAACTCCTGCACAAACATTACATATTTTTTGTCAAGCATAACTCAATGATTATAAATGCTAACACTACATTGTAATATTTGCATACATATAAAAAATAATTACTGGCCTGATTCCTAACAAAATTAGCACTCGCATCCTTTTCTTACATAATTCAGTATCCATTCTTCTTTTATAAACAAAAAGGAAGTCAAATTAAATACCTTAATCAGATATTATATAACAGTTTACTATAAGTTATAATTGCAAAATAGAGAAAATAGTAAATACAGTATGAACTTGGTATGAGTGAAGAGTGTTTGCAATTGAGACCAAATGTCCACCAAGGTCAGGTGTATCTGACTGATGACACCTTGCATATGATGCACAGGGAACAGGGAAGCACAACTTTCACCCATCTTACCTGCATGGCTGAGATGCTTTCTGCAGCTCTGAATCGGACCTATATTGTCTGATCAAAACACTTACAGCCTACTTTTTATCCCTCCTATCAACTTAAAATTTAATGGTACAACAGCTACCTTCACTCTACTCTAACCATCCATAATATGACTTTCCACAACCACAGCAGTCAATAGTGGCCGCTATTGCGGAGGTGTGGAGCGGAGCAGCAGGGTGCTGATATCTCACTGTCTTTGCGTCACATTTCACTATAGGGCCATTGCACCAAGAATAGAGCAAATCGCAGCCATTGTGGCCGCTATTTCATCCTAGGTCAAATCCCTACTTTACCCCCCCCCCCCCTTTTACATTTCTAATATCTTTTTCTCCCTTGTAGCCTAGCCCTAAGTCCCTTTTACATTTTTCCCTCCTATCTCAGTTCCCGTTTTCCTCTTGCTTCCGATGTCCTCCTCCATCTCCGGAAAAGCTTCCAACACAACAAAGTCATTCTCCAATCATCTTCTTCATCTCCGACGAAGCTTAGTATTTGACCCAAACGTTTTTCAGTTGACTTCTTCATCTTCAGTCGCCTTAAACTCCAACGAAGCTTCTAACGTGACCCAAACATTTTCCAGTCATCTTCACATCTAGAAACTTCTGACAAACCTAAATGTTTTCCGGTGAATGACCATTCTCTGTTTTCTATTTTCCTTCTCTATTTTGATTTTCTTCCTCTATTTTGTTTCAAATTTCAATGCTTAAAATAGCAGTCATCCCGCTATAGCGTTTTTGGGGTCAGCTGCTCCACCCCGCTATCTGGGATTGACTATGTCCACAACACATTTCATACTTTAACAGCAAGATAGAATCTCTAATTCCTAGTGGCATAAGAGATGAACCAAAAACTCTGCAAGCCACTACATCTCTTAAAATGATATCAATCACTTACAGCCTACCTTTAATCCCTCCTTAAGACTTAAAAATTTAATGCTACAACATCTACCTTCGCGATACTACAACCATCCATCATATGACTTTCCACAACACATTTCATTGTCCAATAGAAAAATACCATCCCTAATTCCTATCATTGCAGAAAATATGAACCAGAAACTGTACATGCCACTAGATGTCTTAAAATTATAACAATCACTGCTTCATCCTTGACAATTCAATCAATACTAAAATATCAAAAATCTCCAAAATTCTACACTGCTGATCCTGTACAGTTCCATGCCCGCCGCCTCCAGTGAGTCAATATAATGTACTTAATAAAGAAACAATAACCTTGCAATGGATTGTTAGTAATATGCCAACAGAAGACAAAACTACGCAAAATTATGGCCAGATGAAAATATGTTAATCTTTGACAACTTAGAAGATATCATTTAAAGAGTACAACTATAAATAATATTAATTCAGAATTGAAGTTTTTCAGCAATTTAACATAACATGAATGCAGACTTGCATCAATTACTTTAAAAAAAGAATTATAAAATAAGTTATCATCTTCCACAGTCTATCCACTGATTTCAGACAAATGGATCACACCTTGCATTTCATCTTTTGCAGCCTGCCCATCAGCTCTGTTCATGAAAGCAACAAAGCCACAATTTCTTTGCCGCCTTCGCTCCTCCTCTGTCCTAGGCCACATAATCTTCACACTAGCAATAGGTCCAAATCTTCCAAAAGTGCGGAGCAGAAAATTTTCATCAACCTACAATTATAAAAATGCCAAGATAAGGCTAACATGTCCTAATTCCCAATAAGCAACAATGCCCATTTATTTAAGGGACATTCAAACCTTGGGTGAAAGATTTCCAACATAAAGATTTGTAGTTTGTGGATCACCATCGTCAAATGATCCTGGAAGTTTTCCACTTGGGTCAAAGTCATCAGGCAGTTCATCAAAGCGACTAGACTGTAGTTAAGGGGAAAAACTATCAGTAAAACTACTTCATAAAATTATTGAGCAAGAGAAATAAAATGAAATTCTAAGAATATGCATATACAGATAATTATTCTCATAATGTATATTATTAAGTAAATCAGGTAATATTTGTAATGGATAAAAATCAAAACAAGCATAAAGACATCATAGCATAACAAAGAAGTAATGAGGAGAACCATGAAGGAAACATAGTCAATAAGCACGAAAATAAAGGGAATGATGCTTTGCAAGGAGTTGATGGGCCAACGGCTAGAGCTAGAACAAAGACAGTCAAGGAAGCCTTAAATCAATTAGTGGCCAGACTGATTGAATCAAGCCTGGATATGGTCAGAATGGAGCCCAAGTTGACCCACCTAATTCAAATTGAAGAAAGTGATGCTTAGGACCTTTTTAATTGAGCTTTGGATTTATTTGTTTAGTTTCTCATTAGCGTTCTTAGTATTGCAGCCTTGCAGGTCGTGAACCTGACATAGTTTATTAAATATTTATAAAGTTGTTTTAAATGTCTTAATTAAGCTTGTATTGGGCTAAAGTAAACACTAATTTGGAATTTGAATAAAAAATAGGATTTTCATATTGGAGAGAACTTTGTGCCTCTTTACGGTTTGTGGGTGAACCAGTAACTTTGATATTATCAAGAGCATTCTTACTCTTGTGGAAATCCTCACTAGGCTTTTCATTCTCTTAAAGATTGTGGCACCTTTGTTCATCTTCCTTTAATCCATTTTTATTCTAAATTGAATTTGGGCGTAATTTGTGCTTCCAACCCTAGGCAAGTCTGTTTGTGATTCATGGTTATTGGGAATCACATCAATAAGAATGAGATTTTATGATACAATCATCACATGCTTACTCCTAAGATTTAAGTCAGAAGGAATTGAGGAAAAGTGAGAAAAATAAAGGGAAATTTTGAGAGGAGAATTTTATAGAATTCCTAGTACAACTCCTAATATACAGGAGACAGCATAAAAGACTGTTACAACTGAATCAGTTAAGTTGTAACACAACTAGGCCGTAAGATGATCTGTCAGTTAACAAATTTTACAAAACATAATCACTCCCGTGCTACAGTGGACAGGATATTATGCACTATAGGATACAAATTACATAAATACCATTAATGTTTAGCTTACACAACAGCATTTCAATTATTCCAAAGAGTAACCTACAACTACAAGTAACACAAATCCTACATATTTAAAGATAGAGGGACAAAAAATCCAGCCACCACAGTACATGCAGCATGCTATCAAGTAAAGAAAAAGCACCACTTACCATAGAATGTTCTCCATGACGCCCATCACGCCAATGTTCACGTTCTTGATTTCGCCTTTCCCTCATCTCTTGTTCATGCTTTAGCTCCTCCATAAAATGATCAATGTTTCTTGATTTTCCTTTCTCTTTCTCCTTTGGCTTTTCCTCCTCTTTCTACAAAACACAACAAATAAGCATTATATCTATAAACATCACAACTTGAAAAGAAAATCAGAGGTCAAAGCTTCAATGGAGACACAGACTTTCCTTTCCGGTTCTTTCCCCTTGGTTGCCATTGGAGGAGGAATAAAAGATGGTACATACCTGCACAAAAATACAAATGATTAACTTCCATACTAACTAACTAAAAATACATTTGTACTAAATAAAAGTATAAGAATTATTAGATTCAGCATTTCCAAAACACTCCCTTGAAGTTGTACTTTACATCTAAACTGTAATTTCAAGAATTGCCACAGAATAATCCGTCAAAATCTTTCATAATACACTAACTTCACATCTTAACTAATACTCACAATCTGAAAAACTCAACAACAAATTCACATCACAAGAACTGAACAAATATTTGATTTGCAAGAGAAAGCTTTTGAGGGAGCACCACCGTATACATGGGAACCTTCACAGAACCTACAGACAACAAACCACAGGCAGTCCCCCTCTAACTCGGCTACAGAAGGGAAACAATTGCCCAGTATGAAGCAATGAGGCAAGGCAAGAACTCATGAACTATTCGTACTTAACTGATTGCTTTTATGGAATCTGATTGGTTAATCCTGGAATATTTCATAACATCAGTATTATATCTTAAAGTTATTTAGAATAACAAATAATATCCTGATTGTATCCTAGAACATTAAAGGATATCTCAAAGATTACCAAAATAAAACATCTCCATATGACATGTACAGTTTTTGCACAAAAGAATAAACTACAATGAAGAAGAAAAACTACAAAAAGACAGGAGTATAAGGAATACTCATTAATGTAAGAACAAGAAGCAAAGCAAAATATGGAGCAAAACTGCCCAGTCCCTCCAGCTCATGCCCTAGGAGATTTTTCAAGGCCATACAAGGACTTTTGAAGATGACAAACTAATCTGAAAGACTACCCCTGAGCAACAAATTTATGAGGTAGCTCCATATAGACATCTTTCATGAGATCACCATGGAGAAAGTCATTCTTGATATTGAGTTGATAAAGAGGCCAATGACGGATTGCAAGCACGGATAAGAATAAACAGATGGATAGACGCCAGTTTAGCCATTGGAGAGAATACATCACTATAATATAAACCAAAAATCTGCTTATAGCCTTTGATCACTACACAAGCCTTAAGACAACAGCCACCAAAGCCAACCTTGACAATGTAAATCCATCTCCATCCAACAAAAAACTTTCCAAAAGAAAGAGGAACGAGGCTCCAAGTACCACTACTTTGAAGTGCACACATCTCATCCATTATGGCTTGTCACTAGCCAGGATGGGAAAGAGCATTACCTGTATTCTTAGAAATAGAAACATAAAACAAAGAGGAAAGATATGTATAAAGGATAGGGGACAAACAATATGTTAAAGCAACATAATGAGGAGCAAGACTATCAATAAAAAGTATACCTTTCGAAGAGCAATAAGATCAAGCTTAGGAGGCAAGGCCAAAAGATGTGGAGGAGTTGGTGCCAAAGGTAAATCAAAAGGAGTCTCATTACTTGCCAAGGGTGGCAAAGGGAATACATGGTTTTGTTTATAATATACTTGTAAAGGACATGAAGGAGGAATTTATGGAAGAGATGGTGTTTTTGGTGGTTAAAAATTAACAAGAACAAGAAGAAGAGACAAGGGAAGTGTGATAGACAAAAAAGTAACATCAACCGAAACAAGAATATGATTAAGAATCAAAAGAGTAACCCTTATAACATGCTAAGATCTAGTATAATCAAGAAAGACACATTTCTTAGCACAACCACAGACTTGTCAATTGTTGGACTAAGATTATGGACTAAAAAAGTGAATCCAAAGACACGAGAAGAGAAAGGATGTAAATACTATAGAAAAACAAGACAAAGTGTTGTACATGGTTGTTGAGGATGAAAAAAGGCATTCGATTAATAAAGAAGCAAGCTATAAGGACAGCATGACCCCAAAAGCAATCACGAATATTACCAAGAAGAAGAGTGCGAGTGGTTTAAGGTATCTATTTTTTATGTTAACAATTCCATTTTATTAAGGGGTATAAACATAAGTCTGATAAAAAATGTCATTAGAAGCCATAAAATTTTGAAAAGTGTGAGACAAATATTAGTATTATCACTATGCAATATATGAATAGGAATACCAAATTTATTTTGAATTTCATGATAATAAGATTGAAATATAGAAAATAACTCTAATTGATTTTTCATAAAATATAACCAAATGCAATGGAAATAATCATCAATAAAGGTAACAAAATACTTAAATTTTTAAGTAAAAATAATGACTTGGACTTTAAACATCAAAATGAACCAAACTAAACAAAGGCGAAGCTTGACTATTATCACGACTAAGAAAGGAATTGCGGATATATTTGTCTAATTGGCACAACTCACAAGACAAAGCAGATAGCTTAAAAGGACTATAGGTACCATTTGTTGTAACTTGTAAAGACCAGGACGACCTAATGAGCATGAATCAGCAAAGGGGAGTCCATCATTAGAACAGCTGACCAGCATGAGCAAAGGGATAGATATGGTTAATAAAATCCTTGTGAATCATTTTGTGCTAATCATCTATCCCGAACATCAATCCTGCAAAAAAATAGTCTTCCGTATAGGAAATGATGCAATTTGAAGAATGAGTTAGACGACTAGCGGATAACAAATCAGAGAGAGATGAAAGAACATAAAGGACATTATCAACAGATAGTGAAGGAAAGGGACGAACAATACCAAAACTCTGAGATTGTGTTTGAGATCAATTAGCTATTGTAACAGATAGTAAGTAACAAGAAGTAGAAAGAGAAAAGAGACTTGTTACAACTGATATGTTCAGTGACCCCAAAATCAAGGACACAAGGGGCAAGAGAGGTAGAGTGGGAGATACAAATGAAGGAGTTATGCACAATAAAGGTGAAACTAGAGATGCGACACTCCTTATACCACCTACAGGAAGTCACTATAGACAGTCACTATAGACAGGAGGAAGATCAAAAGTTAAAGCACAACTAAAGCTGTAAGCTTGAAAGGAGCAAATCAAGCTGCCTCGGCCATAGGACAACTAACTTGAACGTGTCAAAAATGCCAAACAGCTATTTAAAGCAAAAATGAGCAAACCAACAACAAATCTAGAAGGAGTAGGGAAAGGGCAGGATCAATGTTGACAGTAACTGAAAAAACGGCATCATGCACGGCAATGGCTTGGCAAGTTTGACAAGCTACAGTTTTGCAACACATGAAAGCGCATCTAAGCTTTGATCAATGTGGGTCCAGCAGCAATGGTTTGCACGTGGAGAGGCAATTCATATCATGTGGTCAACGATCAAAAAGGTCATTGGATTAGTGTGCCGGGGGTGCAAAGTGCATTGGCAGTGAACAATAGTTGAAGAGATTGGAAACCAAAGATGAAAGTTTGTTTCTAGTAAAAAATTTCACCAATGAGTAGTGGGCCAACCAAAGAGGCACAGAGATTACAGTTAGTCTTCCGTTAGGCTCTAAATACCATGTTGAAAGGGAGAAAAATGAGAGAACATTTGAATTATGGGTCTCAATTGCATAAATATTAATAATAGTAATAATTATAGAATATTTACAGATTATTCAATTACTTAGTTAACATAATTACAAAGATAAACTTTACTATTACTATCATTAAATATATTTAAAAATAATAAAGTCTAACATTTGTGGATTAACAACAAATCAAAGAGCTTATAAGCAAGAGCACCATGAGTCTAAATAACATTAGACATTTTAAACAAACAAGTTATTCATCCATAGAACCCAATCTCTCTCTTTTACTCTTGGATTGGATCCATATTTAAAAATCCTAATATGATATCAAAACCTGATCCAAAAGAGGAAAGCCCCAAAATTTTTTTAAAAAAAGTCAAGCCTAAAAAACATATTAGTATTGTGGCATTAAAAAGAATTCAAGAGAAGGAAGCACAAGCTCAAGCAATAAGAAGAAAAGCAAAACCTTTTTATCAAAGCTGCAATACCACAATAATTATACAAATGCTTAATTAAGTGTTTGATCCCTACAAAAGTTGCACATGGATTCATCCACATGTTCTCTTACTTTTCTCTCTTTCAACAATGTATCTAGAGCCTAAGGAGACTAACTTTAATCCATATAACTTTGGTTGGCCCACTGCCCATCAGTAAATTTTTTTACTGGAAAACTGACTTCATCTCTAGTTTTTGCCTTTTCCGCTATTGTTCACCACCGAATGCACTATTCTTGTGACTTTTCACACTATTTGGGCCACCTTTTTGCGCTGTTACGGAAACTTTTACAAAGACACTATTCTGACGACCTTCTTGCCAGCGACCACATGATCTGAACTGCCTATTTGTGCGCAAACCAAAGCAATTAGAGCCACGTCAATCAGAATTGAGACGCACCCTCATGTTCTGCAAAATCGTAGCATGTCAAATTTGTCCAGTTGCCGCAATAGCAACTGGTGACACCATTTTTCTGACCAGCGTCATCCCCATTCCATTCTCCTTCCATGTATGTGCTTGGTTTGCTTGTTTTGCTACCTAATAGCCATTGTTTGGCATTATTGACATTGTCCATGTTAGTTTCTCTTGCTTATGCGCTTTCCCATGTCCTAGGCAGCTGCATTTGCTCCTTCAAAGCTTATAACTTCCATTGTGCCCTCACCTCAAGCCTCTAGTTCCACTGCCTCTATTACGTACACTGGTAATTCCTTTATCGGTATTTCATTCTCACTCTCCCTCTCTTGCTTCATGTGTCCTTGATTAGGGCTACTAATCACATCAGCGGTAACAAGTCTTTTTCCTCTTCTCTTTCTACTTCTGGTTATTTACAATCAGTTACAATGCCCAATGGGTCTCAAACACAATCTCAGAATTTTAGTACTGTTCATTCCCTTCCATCACTATCTGTTAATAATGCTTTTTATGTTTCTAGATCTCTCTTTAATTTGTTATCCATTAGTCGTCGAACATGTTCTCTTGATTGCATCATATTCTTTACTAAAGAATCTATTTTTCTGCAGGACTGGAGTTTTGGGCAGATTGGTATGGGATTGAGTCACAAGGACTTTATCTATATCCCTCTACTCATGTTGGTTTGGTGGTAGA